CCCCCCCTCTCTCTCCCAAACCTTCCCCGTAGACCACACCCTGTGTCACCCACCGTCCTGATCCAGGCCATACCTCTGAGCTACCCGCCCTACATGACGCTAGCGTTGTCACAAGGCGAGATACAACATTACACCCTGTACCTTTTGTACTCTGAATGCGACAAGCAACTAAAAAGATGGCTTTTGTGTCAGGAAGAGTTTTACGCACATGCAACACAATAAGGCTACATAAGTGCTGAAGATTAGAGGTGTTACAAGAGAGTAACAAACATAAAAAAAGAAGTTGGGGAGAAAAGGATGATAGATGTTTGATAGGAAAGAAAGAAGCAAACCACACCAGAGCACCCGCCAACCACCCACTTACAAAATAGTGACAAACACAAAAAGGAGGAGAGATCAGGACAGTGGATGTTTGATAGGAAAGAAGGAGCACACCACACCAGGGGACCAGTAAAACGATAGTGTTTGTGTTGGAAATGGGTCTTTGCCCGAAACATTCAATGTAGATTTGTGTCTCGCCTTTGACTACAACTTTTTATGACCCATGACCCAGCCTCTTGTAGCTTTAAAAATGTATCTTGAAATATAATCAAAATAATAAACGACATTTATAAAGCGTCCTTTCCCATTAGAAAACAAGCTGTGGGCACTGTACAATCATAACACTAAAGTAGATGGTACAAAGACACACACACACACACACACACACACACACACACACACACACACACACACACAAAGAATCGCTAAATAATAAGAACGACAGAGTTCATGGTAGAAGAAAAGGTGTGTTTCTCAAATGGATTTCTATTACCATCTCGGATAAATATATCTCCAAAAAGGGACAGTTCTTTAGAAGCCAATGATAGACTGTAGCAAAAAGGAAGGATAGTTTTTACGGGCCAAAAAAAGCATATAGCATTACTAGTATACTGTAGAGATGAAACACTCGTGCGAACATGACTTGCTTTGTCTGAATTTAGGTAAAGAGAAGCACGTCGACTCAGTAATAGTCATTTAGTGGAGGGTAAAAAAATAAAGGTAGGTAGAAACGATCGAGAGAAAGACACCCCC